CCAATATTAACCCAGGGGAAGAAGAGAAAGGACTCCACTCACTAATCAAGGGAAGTGTAGGTCATAGGAATGTCCATATCCACGGACGCGACTATACATATAGATCGATCAACTCTGCACAGCGTGTACACCTGGAAATCCACAAGATCACCATCATCGGCGGTGCACCCCGCCTAGGCTAATACCGACTGCCTCCGAACCAGTGCGATGCGTAGTAGAAGCAGTAGTAAGTAAAAGTGAGCATCTATCCTAACAGCAGGTGTGCAGGGGTAAAGGTTGCGTCAAGGTAAGGGCTTCAAACAATTCTACCATGCAGCCTATCACAGTTCAATTTCATAAATAAAGCACTAGCAGCTACATTATTGCATGTCCAATAGGATTCTAAGAGGTTGGGTGGGACGTGGCACCTGTGGATAAGTCATCTCCCAGCTCGTCAAAGTAGTCATAGTCCTTCTCCTCAGTCTGCGGCTCCTTCGAGTCTGCCAAACGAGACATATAGCCGCAATAAGCGACTCCTATAGATGATCACAAAGAAGCAACAGAAATTCGAAAGATCCAAATGCACTCAAACACAAGCCTAGGATGTAGAGCTTATTTTTAGAAAAAATTGGACTCTAGTTTCATATGTTTCTGAGGTCGGATGAATTTCCTATAATTTTTCTAAGTTTAGATCATTTTTTGAAAAAGAAAAAGAAAACAGTTAACCTAGGGCTAACACGTGGCGCGCTCTGGTTGGTCAAAACGATGCGGGTCACTGACAGGTGGGGCTGGTCAATGGTCAATGTTGTCTAGGCTCGGACTGGGCAATGGGTCGGATATTGGGCCAAGTTGGGCCGAGTTGGGACAAGTTGGGCCGGGTTGGGCTGGCCCAGCCCGGACACATGTCATTCGCCTAGGCCATCCATGTGGCGCTGGCGGGCTACTAACGGGCTCACGTCCACGAGCGTGGCTCATGGTGGGCTAGGTGGCGTGGGTCCATGGACCGCAGTCACGGTCCACGGTGGACCATGTCCACTCCTCCTCCTCCTCCTCCTCCTCCTTCAGTTTATGGTGCACCAGGTGCACCGAGTGGCGCGGGGCGTGGTGGCTCCCTCTTCCTCCTCGGCCGCTCCCTTCACCAGCGGCGAGCTCGCGCGGCTGCATGCTCCGGCGGTCCGGCAGGGCTACAAAAGGGCTCTACGGCTGCGCGGGCTCACGGCGAGTCTACCGGTGGGCTAAAAGCGCTGCCTTAGGTCCTCTAGTGCTCGGCGTAGGCTCCACAGCGGGCGACAGCGGTGCAAGGTCGACGGTGAGGTCCCTCGGTGCATTGGAGGAGCTCCAGCAGGCTTTGCCGGCTTCCTCAGGCTTCAGCGAACGCGACTACGGCTCCAGGCACAGCTGTGGTGGCTTTGGCAAGGCTAGCCACGGCGGCGGTGGCCTAACGGCGACGGTGAACCACGGTGAGGTGGTTGCAGGGCCGAAAGGAGCCAAAGGAGGCTCTTTTCCTTCGATTAGACCCACGGGCGAGTCACCTAACTCAACGGCGATGACCAAGGGGCTCGACGGAGTCCGCGACGACACGACGGCTCTGACAGAGCTCTGGCGGCTCGCTGCTATGGTGGATACGGGGCTAGGAAGGGTCCTAGGGCAAGCTAACTATGCGGCAGGGCTCACAGGGTGGCGATGAACGTCATCGGCCCCTCCTTGTCTCGACAGATGGCCGAAATCTGTGGGAATGCTCGTGACACGGCGGTGCTCTGGTACACGGCCACACCAGCGAGGTGGACACCAACGGTAGCTCCAAGGCGTCCCACGGCTAAAAGGCGGTGACCTTACATGTCACACATCAAGGCGGTCTCATCCGTGGGGTTTTGGGAACCTCTACCGGCTCTAGGTAGCCGAAACAAGGTGGCACCATGGCGGGTTCCGGCCATGGCGACTGTGCAGGTGTGCTGAAAGCTCTAGTTTGGTTTTGGTGAATTGATGAAACCCTAAGTGCTAACCTAGTTTATCAAGTGATCATGAGATAGGTAGCACACTCCAAGTGATGAAGAAAATGAAGATCATAGCATGATGATGATGATACCATGATGATGATCAAGTGCTTGGACTTGAAAAGAAGAAAGAGAAAAACAAAAAGCTCAAGGCAAAGGTATAAACCATAGGAGCTATTTTGTTTTGGTGATCAAGACACTTAGAGAGTGTGATCACATTTAGGATTGATAGCTGTACTATTAAGAGGGGTGAAACTCGTATCGGAGTGCGGTTATCAAAGTGCCACTAGATGCTCTAACTCATTGCATATGCATTAGGATCTAGTGGAGTGCTAACACCTTTAAAAATGTTTGTGAAAATATGCTAACACTTGTGCACAAGGTGATACACTTGGTGGTGTTGGCACATTTACAAAGGAGGTGGTGTTTGTAGTGTTGAGATGGGTTTGGGTCCCTCTCTCCCTCCCGCCGATTTACACTTGGTGATACACTTGTGCAAGCTCGACGGGATTCGGCGCTTTCGGAAAAATGGAATGCCTATTTTCTATTGCGCCGGATGCAAATTCTTGGTGGTTGGCACATTTGAGCAAGGGTGAAGAAGTTAGAGTTGAAATGGAGTTGGTCAAAATGATGATGGCGTCGGTCTACTGACCGGACGCTGGGTCACTCAGCGACCGGACGCTGAAAGGCTACGTCCGGCCATGCTGTCAGACGGCATAGTGGCTAAGGTTGAGCACCGGACGCTGGTCTGTATCCGGTCAAGGTGGACCGGACGCGTCCGGTCGAAGAAATACGCCTCGGGGAGCTTACTGGAAACGACCGGACGCTGGGGCTTCAGCGTCCGGTCAGTTTTGCCGGAGCGTCCGGTCAGCTTCGTAACCGTTGAAATCTGACAAACAGCGTTTGAAGCTGGTGACGCGTGGCGTCCATCGGGCGACCGGACGCTAAGGGCCAGCGTCCGGTCAGTATGACCGGAGCGTCCGATCAGAGCACGTTTTGCCCAGTGAAGGGGTATAACGGCTCTATTTGATTGGGGCTCTATTTATAGCCCCATGGCCAGCTCAAGGGAGCAGTCTTGCACATTTTTATTGACATAGCAACCTTGTGAGCTTAGCCAAAGCCCTCCCACTCATCTCCATCATTGATCCATCATCATTGTGAGATTGGGAGAGAATCCAAGTGCATTGCTTGAGTGATTGCATCTAGAAGCACTTGGTATTCGTGTTGCGCTGCGGATTTCGCTTGTTTCTCTTGGTGGTTGCCACCACCTAGACGGTTGGAGCAGCGGTGAAGGATCGGCACGAGTTGGTGATTGTTCATGGCCGCCTTCGGTGATTGTGAGGGGAGTTGTACCTTCCCCGGCGGAGTGTCGAAAGGTAACTCTAGTAAATTGCTCGTGTCATTGAGTTACCTCACTTGTGGGTCGGTTCTTGCGGTGTCCTATCGTGTGGACGAGGTTTGTGAAACACCTCTTAGCCGCCGAACCACCAAGTGTTGGTCGACACAACGGGGATTAGCGTGTTGGCAAGCACGTGAACCTCGGGAGAAAAATCGGTTGTCTCTTGTCATTTGCATTCTCCCGGTGATTGGCTCAATCTTCATCTTGTGATTGGTTCACTCCACGACCCGGCGGTATAATCGTATCACTTACTCATTTACATTTCCGCAAACTAGATATAGCAAGCTCTTTAGTGTAACTAGAATTGAGAGCTTGCCTTGTGCTTTAAACATATCTAGTGGAGCTCTTTAGTGTAGCATTTGTGAGAGCTCTTAGTGAGTAGTAGTCAAGTAGATTGTGTGCCAATTGATCATTGCAACTAGAATTGTTGGACAGGTGGCTTGCAACCCTTGTAGAGCTAGAGCAAGTTTGCATTTCGCTATTTGTCTTACTAATCAAATTGCTCTAGTTGTTTTGTAGTTTTTAAATAGGCTATTCACCCCCCCCCCCTCTAGCCATATTAGGACCTTTCATGCGCGTCGCAAGACGTCGGCATTCCCGAGCACCCGTGGCTCGGCAAGGCCAGGTCTTGGCCGTGTACGTGCCCTGGTGCGTGTGGTGTGGTGTGAAAGCCAAAGGCTCGGCCTTTGCCTCTCCCAGGTGGAGAGAATGCGGCGGCAGCCATGGCAAGCTCATGACGACGAGCAAGAAGGGAGGGTCCGGGGTGCTCACCGCGGTGGCGTAGGAGATAGGCTAGCGGTGCAGTGACGACTCGTGGTCGTGGCGAAAGGAAGCAGTGCCGTGCCGAGCTGCAACGGGGAAGAAGACGATCGATGTCGTCCTCGTCTCTGGCGACCACAAACGGCTTTGGCGGCGCGGTCTTCCTTCTTCCCTCCATAGCGTCCAATTTAAAAATTTGGTGGTAGAAAAGGTAAACATGTTTAGTTCACAAGATCCAGTTCATTTCCACAATAGAAAAATTTTCCATATTCCAAACAAGCCCTAAACATCTCCGCCTAACATTTTGACGGGGCATGTTCTGATGAAATGGATATTCTGTCCCAAAATAAATCTTTATCTCACAGTTTAAGAAGTCAAACAATCTCAACTTTGACAAATATATTTAAAAAATATTAATATTTATGATGCCAAATAAGCATCATTAGATTAACTACGCCATGTATTTTTCCAATTAAACCTATTTAAAAATACAAATGTTGATATTATTTTTATAAACCTAGTCAAAGTTGAGATTGATCGACTTCTCATGTCGCGAGATGAAGATTTATTTTTGGATGGATGAAGTAAGTGTTTTTATCCATAGCATAAGTGTTAACCTTTTTGCTGCTCAATATACTTATGGATTGATTGATGCATCTTTGGACGAATATAGGGTCTCCATGTTTATTATAGCTAAAAATGTTAGGGCCTCTTTGTGAAATGTGGGGAATTTTTTCATTTTGTGTTTTTTTAATATAAAAATGAATTCAAAGTGGCCCTTAAAATGGGCACCTTTTAGTTCAAGGCTCATTACATGAGAGAGGCATCTTAACAAGACACCAGGTCCGATAAATCATGGACATCTGAACTCAGAAAGTCAGAATACGTCCACCCGGATACCTCATCAGAGGTCGAGTTTCAGACTTTCTGGGGCAGCAGCGTGCATGCTTCGCCGTCGACGCCTCCCCGATGTCGATCTCGACCTCGAAAAACGGGGGGTCGCCCAGCACGAACTCCGCGTCGCCACGCGCTCCGTCCCTGTCCCTCAGCAGCTCCACCACTCTCGACATGGCCGGCCGCTCGTCGGGGTTTGCCTGTGTGCACAGCAGCCCGATCTGCACGACGCGCGTGATCTCGTCGACGACTGTCTCCTGCTGCAGCCTCGCGTCAACGACTTTCTCCATCGTGTTGGTCTTGTAACTGTGCCAAACCTGCAACCATGCACAACAGCATTATCGTGCTCGGTGCTCAAAGCAGCATTCGCAATTTCGCATCAATGTCAGAATATCAGATATATGTCTTATTCCCTTTTTCATTTCTTTTTTTGAAAAGAGGTTACTACTTTAGCATTTCTCTTAATGCTGACCAAAATTTAGACTTTTGCCAAATACAGACCTCATTAGCCAAATCTATGCTTCAACGTTCAGAGAATCAGAGATGGTTCAAACCTCTGCTAAAAGTGAGTGACCAGAGTGAGACCCCGTCGACTCACAACACCGCTTCCCGGTGACAATTTCGATAACCAGCACGCCGAAGCTGTACACATCGGCCTTCTCGGTGAGGTGTCCATGTACGACATACTCAGGAGCCATATAACCACTGCACATATATTGAGCTATCTCACTTGATGAGATCTTTGCGATTGCCTGTCAGAAAGATCGTGCATAACTGGAGCAAACAAAACAGAAGATAACCATGCTGTCAAAGTATTACTTACACTGTCCCTGCAACTCCTGTCGTAAGATGAGTTCGGTCACCGCATAGGACTCGAGCAAGCCCAAAGTCAGTTATTTTGGGCTTCAGCTTTTGATCCAACAGGACATTGCTGGCTTTGATGTCCCGGTGAATGATCCGAGTTTCTGACTCTTCATGGAGGTAGCATAGGCCCTCTGCTATGCCAAAAATAATATCGAACCTTTGCTGCCAATCCAGATGCCTGTTCTTGTCATCAGCTGCACACATAGAAAAGATTGGCACTTGAGTTAGGTGGTGGTTGGTTGTCCCTCCTAAATTTTAGTCGTTGTTCCATCGAATGTTTGACACATGCATGGAGTATTAATGCCCTGTTTGGCAGGGCTTCTCTAGCGGCTTCAGGAACTGTTTGGAGCCGTTTTCTGTCAAACGGGGTAAAATGAAACGGCTCCACCGATGAAGCCCCTAAAAACGTGCTCTCACAGAGCTTTGGGGTGGGAAGGAGCCAAAAATAGTGGCTTCTCCCGGCTCCTCCTCCAGGCCCCTAAAAACATGCTCTCACAGAGAAGCCATTTTGCCAAACGGTTTACCAAAACCGCTTCAGCTCCACCGGTGAAGCTGTTCGTGGAGCTAAAGTCATAAAAAATGACTTCACTAGTGAAGTGAAGCCCTGCCAAACGGGACCTAAATATAGACTAATTACAAAACTAATTGCATAGTTTATGACTAATCAGAAACGATACTGGATTATTTACTGCTGGCTGGTTTGGTGTGAGAGAAAAATATTGTTCCAGCTTCTAATCCATGATCGTATACGAGCAAGCGAACAGGCTGAATTTACGAGACAAATCTTTTAAGTCTAATTAGTCCATGATTTGATAATGTGGTGCTACAGTAAACATGTGCTAATGATGGATTAATTAGGCTTATCCGAACACCCCATGCAACATCCTCCCGACACACCTCCTAAATTTTAGTCACTGAATCCAAACACCACCTTACTATGTGGCATATCTCTACAACTAAAACATTTATAACTATTCCATCCACATGTGCGACACCAAAGCCGCTTCATGCGATCAGATCAGGAAGGCAACGCGCACTCGCTCCATGCGATCAGCTCAATCCTCATAACAGCCGCAGCAAATCAGGAAGGCAAAAATCAATTCTCATAACAATCGTGATCAATTCCCAGCAAATCAGGAAAGCAAAAATCAATTCCCGTAACAATCATGATCAATTCCGCGATCACCCCACGCCACCAATTTTCTGAAGATGTTTATGAAACTAGAATACCTGCTTGATGCGACTAAATCATTTTAGCTATATCACGGGTCGACAAAAAATTGTGGATGCGGAGAATTTCTATGCATTTTTTTTGTTGCATGTCTTCTTTGACACTTTGTCATGTTGCAAGGCCTAATTATTTCGATCTTTGTTGTGGTTTTGTTAACATGCATTCAAGTCATTTTTACGAGATTTGACTACGAGATCCTGACTTTGTTGGTTGATCGTTGTATATTACTTTGATGGGTTGAGTAGCTCTTTGTAAGGCACTTCTGCAACATGTTCCTTGTCAGTGGTGGCTTTCTTGCCGGCTGTGGCTACAATTTTGTAGCTAAGATCATAAAATAGAAGTAAAACATGTTTGCCAATTGGATCAGGAAGAGTTTTCAGGATGTTACCACTCACCACAATCACTGGATGTTACCACTCCTGCCATTACATATTGGTAGGGCATCGCTGTACGAACACAAAGTGGAAGATGAATAAAATAATATGAAGGATAGATCAATACTATCCTTTGTATCAGATGAATTTATTGTAATACCATCTTCTCTAACTTTACTAGAATATAATATAGGAAAGCTGCATTGAGAGTGCTGCCCTTTTATTGGGTATTGGCTTATAGATTTTTTTACTGGTTATGGTATAGAAGAGATGAGTATATATTTCAATGGTTTAAGGTGTTTTCTTAAGGTGATTGATGGTTCCCTTATGGAGATTGTTGAAGAAAAGCTGAGAAATCTGGTGAAATGCTGCAATCACATAAAGAAATAATACTCACAGACTAATATGCATGATTAAGCTTAAAATTACTGTGATATTATTTTATTCCCGTTGCAACGCACGGATATGATCCTAGTTATATAATAATCACCAAAGAATAAGTCATATATACTAAACTCCCTAAAGGGAATCACAAGTTATGTACAATGTTGATATTCTAGTAGAATTGCAAGAGGCAAAAGTCGTTCGTCTTCATAAAATCCTGTGTTAATCCACTATCAGTCTGTAACAATACAACCTTGTGGGTCAACGAAAAAGGAGACGATTGTGCTGACTCATATGCTGTAGGTTTGTTATCTTTTATATAAATAAGTCTTCAATTTGGACCCAGAAACTGTTTCTCCGTATCATGTTTTAAATTATGCTGCCCTTACCTTCTAATTCAACATGAAACCAGTGTCCATGCTGACCATGCACGAAAAATATACGATAGGATGAATCTAGAATGAAATGAGTATTAAATTTACCGAATATGGACAGATCTAAGCTCTTGTTGAAGTGATATTCATATATCAAGAAGCTTTCCGGGCCATCGACACTGCATCCAAGCAATTTCACCAAATTTTTGTGACGCACTTGGCTTATCACATCAACTTCATTGAAGAACTGGTCGACACACTGTTTTGTGTTCAGGAACAGTCTCTTTGCAGCGACTTCATTCCCATCAGGAAGAACAGCCTGTATGTGAAATAATTACAACCTCTTGAGTGACAGGAACTTTGCAGTCTGCAAAACACAGCATCCTTGCACCAAAAAAAAAGGATCCACGTATATACCTTGTACACAGTACCATTGCTGCCTTGGCCTATCTTGTTCTCTACACTGAATGAACATGTCGCTTTCTTTAAATGCTTATAACTGTAATTCAGACTTGATAGGGAAATTCTTGCAGGAAGTTCAGAGCCATACAAGCCTGCAGTTGCTCAAGTTTGTCAAGCAGTTGGAGACAATAAAAAAGCAGATTCGATAACGAGTAAAGGAAGTTTAGGACAAGCTACAATACTAACCCTTCAATGATCCTTCTCCTGCCTTGCAAGCTTTCTTCTTCTTCCATGCCAGTACTGAAACGACAAGTACAAGAATGAGACCAACAGAGGAACTCAGGACTGTCCAAAGAACAACTCGTTCCTTTGAGCTGAAGCTTGACGCAGAATCCTTTGAGTTCCAGAAAGGTGTTGTCGAATATCTGATGAAGCAGCCAGCAAAGAGTGCACGGCCTTCCTCTGCCGGTGCACATTTAGCCACCGATGCTGCAGCTGCACTGAGACAGGCTGCACAGCTCGAAGTGTTCAGGTTCTCCCAGCACTGAGCAAGTGCATAAGCTGCAAATTCTGTTGATCTGAAAGCTGAAGTAACAGCAAACCCTTTGTTGCTCTTGACAGCCAAGGAAGTCACATTACTCAACACAGCATTCACAGCTGAACCAAAGCCCTGCTGGTCTGAGCTGCGGTTACTGGAGGAGCACACACTTGTATCCAACGAGTCCATGACCTCATCGAAGAATGAGTAATTTGCATACCTCATGAAGCAGCCATCGAGATATATCCGGCCTCCAATTTCCGGATAGCATTTCGGGAGAAGAGACCTTATTTCTGAGTAGCACAGCGTGCAGTCAACCTTGCTAAGATCTTCCAGACATTGCACGAGCGCATAGAAGGTAATAGGATCTTGCCCAAAGGAAGTTATCCCCCATCCCTTTTGCTCGAGATCTGAGTTCAGGTTGTCGAAGGCGACCACAAAGTTGTTGGCCCAAACTGCCCCAGGACCGTCATCTTTGGTTTTGTTGCAGAACTCACGAACCACCGTTGCCCGAGGGTCAGCCAGGGTAGTGGTTGTTATCCAGGAGGAGAAACAGGCAATTATGACAGGAGCCAGAAGAAAAGAACAGTAATATCTCATTCCGGAGACACTGAACCACTCTATTTCTTGTTCTTGTTATAATTTCATGGCAAGATTCTAAAACAAGAAGAACAAAAGCAAGAAAAGGCTAACAAGTCTGCTTCAGCAAGCAGCCAAGCACCAGTGTTCACTGAACAAATCTTTATAATCTGTGATGTATACAAGTAAGAGATTAAATTTGTAAGAGCGTGTAGATGAAAACAAGCTTGCAAGGAAACAGAGCATGAGCTATTGACACTCTTTGCTGAAAGTTGAGGGTAGAGAGGGGCACAACAGAGATACCTTCAGCTGCCTGCCCTCCAGTGAGTTCCTGACTTCCTGCAAACCTTTGTGAGATATTAGTATTACATTTTATCCCCTTTTTATAGAGATTGTGAGAAATTTCTGTATGCGTTTGACTTCGCCACACTACCATGACTCTAGAAGAACCCTGGTAGTATTTTCAATCTTGCAAACAACTATCTAGAATAACAATCAGCATAAACTGACCAACAAAACCCTACCCCTATTAGCCTTGAATGAGTCTTCAGCCAATTTGAGAATGACACCTCACCTTTTCTATATTGGCATTCCACTCGGTCAAAATGAACACTTTGAACATCAATTAACTATGTGTGGAATCATTTATCCATTTTGACCAGTACAGTTTTCCAGACATCAAATTTGAAAAGTAGTAGCATGATGAAGACGTTTTCATTGAATTTCCAGTGATGCTGATAGCTTACCACTTGACATAGCATGCCCATCATACTTCTCTCTCTGAACAAACCAAGTTCCAAGCTATTTGGTAGTTCAACTCTTCACAAGAAACACGAGAGTTAGCCTGCCAAGTTATCAGTCTGGTTGTGGAGATACTAACTGACTTGAATGTAGGACTGTTATTTTGCTGGTCTAATATGATTGGGATCACTCTGATAAAATCCATAACCAACTTCGATTTCCACATGGAATCAAACTAGTAAACCTTTCTATTGTACAAGTTATATGTGGCGTTCAGTTTTATGCTGAATACAAAAGAGTGGCATGCCCTTATAGAAATTTACATGAAAAGAATAACCTAATCATGGATCTGCATTCAACAGAAAAATATTGCTTCACTTAAATGAAAATGTTTATTTTTCTTCTTCACCAAGCTCAAGTAGTTTGGAAGTGCCAGCAACCACAAAAATCAACATCACAGCTACCTTTATCTGATTTGGATATTTTACCAGGGTTTTCTTGGCCGGAGACTCAGTAACTATTTGAAGACATTCCATCTATGGTAATATGTTCAGATTATCAATTGCCAGTGACGAAGCCAGGATTGAGATTTAGGGGGGGACAAATATCAATAGGGGGTCATTTACCCTTTAATTACGCAATAGTTTAGCTATGAAGAGTACCACTACCATTTTAATACTTATCAATCGCCAGTGACGAAACCTGGGTTTAAATTTAGTGGGGAAAAATATCAATTGGGGTCATTTACGGCTGTAATGGAAAATCACCAAAGTTGCCGGGGGTGGGGGGGGGGGGCTACTCTGTACTCGTCAATTGAGTTTGTCTACTCCGTACTTGGTTGAAAATCTTCTCTTAATTTTTTGCTTTCCTTTATTCTTAATAGCATACATGGAGGTTATAAAACTAAGATTCAAGTACAAATCTTCTTTCCCACACCCCAGTTTTAGTTACCATCAACTTATGCTGGATGTATATTCAATGTACTAGAGTTATGGTGATTATTTTGGTGCAATTTCTAGGTAGATTTGGTGTAACTGAAAATTCATGTCCGAGGAAGAATATTTCACCCAAGTTTTAGAACACCTTTAATCTGGATTTGGGACTCCTCTAAAACACCCAAATTTTTCTTATAATATGCTCACAAAATTCAGCTATAGACGGGAAGTTTTTCACCTAGGCATGATGTAGCAAAACTATTATCAATAATATTTCTGTCCAATCTATCTGATAGTGTGAACCGCATAAAAAGTACAATCAGAGAAAGGAAACTTATACATATACAATTTAGAAAACATTAAACAGATTTGCATGAATGACCATTTTAAATGTTTCTTACAGAAAATCCTTAATTTCGGTCAAAAAGTCGAACCAGGATTTATGTTCTGATCTCAGATACCTATATCATTTGTTGCAAGACAAAAGTACCAGTGGCACCATAAATAAAAAAAAAAAGTAAAGTACGCTGGACGTTGTGTCATCCGCTCTCTGAACTCTTAAAACAGTTATCCAGGTCCCTACTCTATTCGGGTGTCAAAATAGTCTAAACAGGTCTACACCTGTACCCACATGTGGGGGCCACCTGTCAGTTCCATCTCCCTCCTCTCTCTCGAGCTCACGAGGCGACGCAGCCAGGGGCAGGGGCGGTGGGGTGAGGGGCCGGCGCGGCAACGGTGCGGGAGGCGCGGCCGGTGCCTGGTGCTTCTTCTCCGCGAGAGGACGGCGCGGGCGAATGGGCGATGCAGGCGGTCGCGGGGCGCAGGTGGGCGCCGCGGACGGCTGCGCGAGGCCGTGGGATCACCCGTGGAGGCGCGGGCGACGCGCGGTGCCGCTGGGCTGTCGCGCATGACGTCGCCAAGACCATTCCCGTGCCTAGCTCGATCCATTCCCGTGCAGCGGTAGCGGTCCCGCAGTCGCGCCGCGGATGCCTCCGGCTCCTCCTGCGCCTCCCCACGTCCCTGCACCGCGTGTCCTCGTCGGCCGCCGCCGTCGGATCCTCCTGCTACGGCCTCGCCACACGGCGGTGCGCGCGCGGCGAATCGAGGCCGCTGCTGCAGGGAAGAGTAATGGCTGCTGCTGGTGATTTATCCATTCGCGTGCATATCCGATTGGTGATGGGTTTCTGGAAGACTGAAGTACGAACTCGCGTGCAACGGCCTGTTGTTAGGCTGTGGCTCGCCGTAAAGCTGTGGCTCGCCGTAAACGATCGTAAATTTTTAGTCGGAATAGTATTTTTCTCTCACACAAACTAGTCAGCGGTACTTCTTCACGAATCAGCAACGATATGAACCAGCCAACCAAATAGGCTGCAACATCCGCTGCTGCGGCCAGCGCCAGCGCGAGGGGAAAGGGCAAAGGCGTCTCGCCTCGTCCACGCCCTGAGATGGAGAGAGACGTGGAAGATGGAGCTGACATATGGGTCCCATATGTCAATGAGCTACTCTAGTTATTGTCTGGACCCGTTTGGACTATTTTGACACCTGAACAGAGTTTATGGACCTAGATAACCGTTTTAAGGGATTAGGGACCGAGATGACACAGTGTCACCAGTTTAAGGACCGAAAAAAAGTTAGCTATGCAAAATTCATCAACGGGTTATTAGCTTCATTTATTAAGAGTATCATATAAATTTATATCACAAAAGTCACATGAACTCGCTTGTATTTATGTATAATTCTGATGGGACAAAGGCCCTATTCGCATGAACTTATCAGCCGTACCATCTCAATGAAATAACAGTGTTTTTCTCTCACAGTAAATCAGCATCAGCATCAGCCGTTTTTCCAGCCAACCGAACAGGACCAAAATATTTATGTACAATTGTGGTGGTGCCCCCCAGTCTAGCACACTTTATGAATTATATGCTGCTGGATTCCTCTCAAAAGATCTATCTGCTAACACGATCATTTTACATCACACATAACTGTACAAACTCTTTAATATATTTGTCTTGAGAACTAGGAAAAAATCACCAAGATTATCTCCCACTTAAGTAAGATCGGGACGAGCCTGACAGTGACGGAGCAGAATTGGAGGACAGCAATCGTGAATGTTCCCCTTCTTTGATGTCCTCAACAGCATCGACATTCAGAAATGGAGGGTCACTCAAGACAATCTCCAAAGCATTCCTGTGGTTTCTCAGCAACTCCACCACCTTCCCCATTGTAGGCCTGTCATCAGAATTTGCTTGTGTACATAGCAGCCCAATCTGCAGTATATGCATGACCTCATCCCTGATAGAGTCTTCATATATGCTTCGATCATATATGCTTCGATCAACAATCATCCCCACTCTGTTATCCTTGTAGTGTTTCCATACCTTGAATTTAAAGAAATTATTCATATTAGACGCGTTATATTATAGCTGGAACTTGGAATGGTCAAGTAAATGGTCCGATAATTTGTTTTAGTTGGTCACTTTGCCTTGAAGCATGATTTGTTTCTAAGGCTGACTACACCTGTACTCCTCTTTCCTTCCTTCAACAAAGATGCAAATTTGCATGCTGCGAGTGAAGTGCACCTAAATCTGGAAATTCAGGTTTAGAACTTCTATTCCTGAAATGATTCCTAATATACACTCTAAAATGATTTAAACATAACAAATAGGCCAAAGTGCTATTTCAGCAAAGTCTTCTCAATTTTCTACTGAAATACATGAATCAGTATACTAGTACCTGCTCTGCAATCTCAGTTTTAATGAACAATGATAGATGCCACTACACCAGTATGAAGCTGCTAAGCTACGACTCTTCTACCCAGATCGTTATTAGCCCCCCATTCTTCTCATAATTAGATTTTGAAAGAATTTCGACCTCTTCTGTAAATCTTTTTTTTAATTAAGGAAGGAAAGAGAGTTTATGTACAGAAAGTGCCATCGGCACACCTCTTCTGTAAATCTAAATGGATAATTAGATTGAGTACCAGCACATTTTTGGGAACATGCAGACCCCGCATATGAATTATGATTACAGAACTATCATAACAGAAAGCAAGCAAATTCAATAGTGAGGTCAATAACATCATAGTAGTACCTTTGTTAACAAAACCTGTCCTCCGTGTGAACCATTTGAGTTGCTACATCTTTTCCCTGTTACAATCTCGAGAACAAGAACACCATAGCTGAAGACATCAGCTTTCTCTGTCAAATGCCCATGCACTATGTATTCAGGAGCCATGTAGCCTCTGCAAGACACTTATTTTGTGAGTTTAGTTTAGAAACTCAAATTGCACCATTACCATTTGACATGACAACAGAATTAATAACCCTGTAAATACTTCTGTGAATATGATAAAGGATCTTACAATGTTCCAGCAACACCAGTGGTAAGATGAGTAACGTCTTCTCCAAAAGCTCTTGCAAGGCCAAAATCAGTTATTTTAGGTTTCAATTTATCATCCAATAAAATATTACTAGCTTTGATATCTCGGTGAATAATCCGTATTTCTGACTCCTCGTGGAGATAAGAGAGCCCCTCGGCAATGCCTTGAATGATATCGACCCTGAGATCCCAGGTTAAATTTCTTCTACGACTTGTATCTGAAAGAATATTACAAGACAATTGGTTATTGCAATTTTGAAACACCCATTCTAATTTTCTGTAAAAGAAATGGCAAAAAACAAAAGAGCAAGTTCTAGGCAGAACTTGAAAGGGTCAGATGAATTATGTTTTACTATCAAAACATGAAGTAGGACAGTTTCTTCAAGTTGTTTCTTTAAACATGAATTCTGTTATGTACTTACTTTTTTTAACATTAAAACACGAAGAATGATCGCTTCCATAGCTTTTATCGCTTTTTTTACTTTGGCACAAAAATGGCAATTTAAAAGATTGGCACGGCAGAGCCAATTATGAGTGAAGCCTACTCTTACATTGACAGAGAATTTTTTTAGAATAACCCATCAAGATACTAAAAAAAATTGATCCACGAATAGCATCATACTAATTGAATAATTCTAAGCTAATGCTAGTCATTCTCGATCCTAATTTGACACTCTTCAAAGAATATTACCAAAAAGTAAATCAAATGAAACAACATTAGTGACAGACAGCATCACATCATGGCCTTACCAAACAAGAAGAGATCAAGGCTCTTGTTGAAGTAGTATTCATAAACAAGCAAACTCTCTGGACCATTCATGCTGCAGCCAAGCAACTTAACTAGATTCTTATGACGAACTTGACTTATTAGGTCGACTTCATTGAAAAACTGATCGGCCCACTGCCTTGTATTTAGGAATAATCTCTTGACAGCTACTTCCTTTCCATCCGGAAGAACAGCCTACAGAGTAGGAATCTTGGGATCAATATATATCTGAAAGTTTCAGTTTCATATTTAACCCATTGCTAGGAAATTACATTTCAGATAAGGTAAACCTTTATACCTTGTATACAGCTCCATAACTTCCTTGACCAAGTTTGTTTGATGGATCAAAATAATTTGTTGCTTTTCTTAACTCTTCATATTTGAAACTCAAACTAGACTGTGCAATTCTGACAGAGAGTCCATCCCCATACATATCTGTAGTCGACAACAGATATATCAGTTACGAAGAAGAAAATTTCCAGGTATTGAAATCTTAAATCTGAAACTGACCTATGAAGGAGTTGCACCCTTTTCTCCTGCTGAGAATTCTTTTCTTCCATGCCAGAAAAGCAATGACTAGAACAATTGCAAAAGCACCAAGAAATGAACCCAGCAATATCCACAAAATGCCACTGTGCACTGCATATTATTGAGAAGTTATTTTAAGGAGGACAAATGAAAGGAGCAGCTGAGAGAAAACTTGCGGTGCACCTTTAGTCAACAAGAAAAATACTAGTATTAGGTAATTGTTGACAAGATAAACAAGAACCTTTCATATGTGAAAAATTGTCAAATGTTTTCTTCCTCCAAACAAATTAGGATTTCACATTGGCTTAGAAATGATGATAACGTAACTAGACCATTCTTACATATGCACTGACGTTGTGGCAACTTTGCCGGCTTTCTTAGTAGCACAGTATATATAACCACCTAAATAAACTGCTACGACAGAGATATTTCTTTCTACTAGTGAGCGCGCGTTTAGTTCGGGAAAAGTGCGAAATTTGGCTACTGTAGCAATTTCGTTTTTATTTGGTAATTAATGTTCAATCATGGACTAATTAGGCTCAAAACGTTCGTCTCGCAATTTCCAACCAAACTGTGCAATTAGTTTTTATTTTCGTCTACATTTAATGCTCCATGCACATACCGTAAGATTCGATGTGACGGGTACTGTAGCACTTTTTGGGAAAACTTTTCGCGAACTAAACAAGGGCTGATTGTAACCATTGAGAGAACTAGCAAATGCTTTGGTCAAAGCAAAGGTGATCCGAAACAGGTCTGTTAGTTGCTGGTTTTGACAAATTTACATTCCCTACATTCTAGTAGATGGCAAAGCCAAACATCTTTAGGTTTACTCCGTCCCAACACTTCCAGTCAATATAGTTAGGTTGATTAACCATGATTTTCTTCGATTGATTTTGATTTTCAACGCGACATAAAGAATAACGTGATTATCCGCTGAGTGTGGTCAACATTGTGCAGCATCGAACTAAATCGGGCGAGCAGAGCAGCCAAAGCGTTGAATAATGTGGTTTCCGAATTTGAATTTGTCGTACCTGACGAGCCCGATCCCGCCGTGCCGTTGACATTCCAGAATTGCCTGGTGGAGTAACGGAGGTAACAGCCTGCAAAAAGCGCGCGACCCTCCGTGGCCGGCGCGCAGGGCGCCACTGCGTCCGACGCCGCGCGGAGGCACTGTGCGCAGGCGGTGCCGTTGAGGGTCTCCCAGCACTGCGCGATCGCGAACGCCGTGGCGGCCCCCACGGCCGCTGATCCCGCCCCGAACCCATGGCTCCCTGGAGCCTCCGCCGCCGCGGTGACGTTGGCCAGCGCGGCGCGCACGGCGTCCCCGAACGCCCGCGGGTCGGCGCCCGTGTAGTTCCCCTCTGCGGCCGTGCCGCAGACGCGGGCGTCGCTGGCGGCGTCGAGGGCCTCCCCGAAGAAGGAGTAATTGCCGTAGCGTCCGAAGCAGCCGTCGAGGTAGAGGCGGCCCCCGACGCGCGGGTAGCACTTGGGCAGCAGCGAGCGCACCTCGGCGAAGCAGAGCTTGCAGTCGACGGGGGAGAGGTCGCGGAGGCACTGGCCGAGGCCGAAGACCGTGTTGGGGCCCGAGCCGACGGCGGAGGTACCGAAGCCGCGCTCGCTGACGTTGGTGTTGAGCTCGTCCATGGCCGGCACGAAGTTGTCGGCCAGCGTGGAGCCGGACACGGCCGTGCCCGGCGCGCACGTCTGCCCCGCCACGGACGTGCGCGGGTCTGCGGACGCCGCGGAGCTGAGCGCGAGGAGGACTGCGAGCGCGAGGCCGAGGCCGAGGCGGGGTTGTGGCGGCGCCATGGTGTGGTGTGGCGCGAAACGGGAACGGGGTTGCGCCGTGCCGGGCGCGTGCGGTGGTGCCGGACGCGGCGTTCCGGTCGGGAGCGGAGAGTTTATTACTGGCTGAAGAGCGCGAAGAGCTGCACACGTCAGGAGCGCGGTCCAGGTGATTGTCTAGTTTGGAAAGGTTGAGACTTGAGAGGGATTGCGGGCGTGGGGGGAGGACCGGAGGAGCGCACAGAAGTCGCCGGGCGGCGGCGTGCCGTTGCCGACCAGCGCGAGCGCGCCGGGCCAATTAATGAGTCATGAAGGAGACAGCGGAGGCCACCACCGTGATGCCGGGAGCCCGGGACGGCGGCTCCACCTCCGTGACCGGGCTTCGGAATTCGGATACTCTGTAGAACCTCACCTGTTCGCTGGTTCTGAGCTGACGGGTGCTGGTTCGTTGTGAGATAAAAGCACCGTTAGCTAGCGAACGAGCTGTCTGACTGCAGGAGATTGCTAGTGCCTACAGTAGCAGTAAGCAGCGCATTCACGTTTGCGGCTTGTCCAAAAGTAGCTGCAAGGCACTGCACATTTCACCGTCCCTGCAGTAAGTCTCGCGCTGTCCGTTGACGATGTTTTATTGCGAGAGAAAAATAACGCACGATTGGTAAACAGTTCAAACGAACATGGCGTCGTCTGTCGAGGATAGGTGATCGACGGCCCCTGATCCGTACATAGCTTGCTTCTGAAGCGCCGACCGCACCAACCGCGCCGGTGGGCAACTGTCCGCGTATGCCACCTGTGCGGCTGTGTGCCGCGTTGGTCACCCACACCCCAGGGAAGATGGTGGCTCCCGCGTTTCACCTCATAAGATGAGAGAGGGAGGGGAAAACCTTAATGAAGCTAATATAGTTTGGATCCTTGAAATTAAATTCATTCTAATAATTACAATTTAGACATAGATTAATAAAACTAATATAGTTATATATAAAATATATTTGTATATTTATTGTTAGGTATATAAAGAACATACTTATATGTTGCATTTTTATTGTAGGCAGCGAGTTAAATAGTGTGCTATAAGTTAGATAATAAAATTATAGCATAGTGATCTATATAATATATTTCCATCTCTCACCCTATAACTTTAAGATAGGTTTATTTGTGAGTTTAAGAATATTATGGAATGTTAAATTTTAAGCCAAATAGGTTAATCCATTATGTAAATTTTAATTCGCCTGAAACCAAGAGATCTCCTGACTTGATTTGATTCGGTATAGTTTCGTGCATCCTGCAAGCCACGCCACTCGAATAAAAATGGCAACGGGTAAAATCCGCGCGGATATAGGAATCGCAAACCCGCACCTGCGACAAGATATTTGTGCTTGCGCCACCATCGCCACCACCATACGCAAAGATCAGGCGCCAACCCGCTATCCATGGGCATGTTTTGCCATGGGCATACCCAAGATACCCTCCGTATATAAATAGATGACATTTAACATAAGTATAAGTAGATGACAACATACCCGCCATAAGTATAAGTATAAGTACATTTAACACAGAATGACAAAAGTATAAATAGATCACAACGCTCAATTATTCATCACACGCTCACAATCTCAATTCATCACAATCACAGATGACAAATCACACAAAGACAGTTCAATACACACATTCAACAATCACAGGGGACTACAGGCCTACCATACAAGATTACAAGTACACATTGTTCAACCGCAAAGTCTTCCAAGTGATGCAAATAAAAGACATGAACAAGTAATTAGTTGGAATCCGCTCTAGTGATGCAAGATTCATCTTTCAGATCTTCTTCATTGTCTTCAAGGCATGACCAAAAGCTATTGAACCTTCCATCACCCTCATCTACATTCAAGTTCAAACATTAGTAGCTGCAGATACAGTCATATGTATTAATGAAAAGAATTCATTGTAAATGCACATTTTATACCTTTGAGATTGTGACGAAGCCAACTTTGGTCGCACATCAAAGCTTCCGACATTTTAGGAGTAAGACGATCATGATGCTCACTTAAAACCCTCCCACTAGTACTAAAAGCCGATTCGAAGCTACTGTGGTGATTGGAATAGCCAAAATGTCACGAGCAATTAGCCTCAAGGTAGGATAACGAGCTCCTCCAACTTCCACCACCAAGGATATCAAAATAATCATTCTCATCATGAGGAAGAGTTTCCTCTTCAAGTAGCGATCAAGCTCATTCTTACTTCTAACAAAGCTTGTAGTCTTCTTATTTGCAAAGAAGGGTTTTAAATATGGACAACACAACAGCAATTGCACTAATCAGAGAAGGGGCACCACCAGAGGATGTAGCCACATAGTCTTTCACATGATAATGTTTCATTAAACTAGTAAGCAATTCCTGGGCCTCTGAACATATTTTTTCCAAGCAGCCTCTTCTCCAAAAAGGGCAATATAGCAAGCATGTAACATTGTCATCTTAAGACGTGGATCAAGAATAACAAAGAAATGACCATAAGACCATGGATGTCACCCCAATACTTATCATACTTTTCTATCATGGCAGCAGACATGTTCCTAATAGTTTCATCTTCATCATGACCCCAAGAGTTGAGTTTAAGTTTAATCTCACATACTTTAGGGAAGAACAGTTAGTCAGTAACATATTTTGTCCCGAAAAACAGCTCAAGAAGCTCATAGAATAACCCTAATTTCTCACAAACATTAGTAGCAAATGTCCAATCATCTCGCTGCTTGACAATCATAGCTCCTATCGAGCTCACCCAAACGTTCAAAAACCTTCCTATAAGGTATAGCAATGCTAAGCATGATGTAGGTTGAGTTCCATCTAGTTTTGCGCCTCTAAATGCAACTTCTTGTCCAATTCAACATTTTCATCTAGAGCAGTTTTCTCAAACTTTTCATACCTTTTTGGAGTAGCAATCCAATAAGCAACACTTTCTCCGATGTGCGCAACCGTAGTTCCAATTACTACCATGCCATCTTTCACAATGAGGTTGAGAATATGTGCACAACACCGCATGTGCAGCCATTTTCCTTTCAATAGCATATTAGCACTTCCAAGCCTTGTTTCCATTAAGCCAATCATGTTATCATTGGCACTTTGCAATTGTCAAGAGTCACAGTTGATACCCTCCGATCAAGATCCCAACTCGAGGCATTTATGCAATGCGTCACAAATAACCTCTCATGTATGAGGGCATGGCACATACATAAACCTACATCAAACAATGCAATAATTCAATTTGGATAGTTCATAAAATGTCCCGACAAAGAAGCAATAATTTAGCCGGACATAATTAATATAATTATACAATCTGGACAGCAAGTAGAATTAAGATATTCACCTCAATATGCAGCTTCTAAGCGTCCATGAGTCATCAATAAAATGTCCAAATCACCATCATATAGCCTCTCTTTTGATTTTCAAATTGTCCAAAGGTCGGGCCAGACAACAACACGACAATTTGTCCTTTGCAAGAATATCCTAGCTTTCCTTTTCTCTCCCTCATAGAAACTCACGATGTCCCTTCTAATAGTGTTTCTAGTTGCCATTTTGAACAAAGGTTGTAATGCACTAACAAATTTACGAAAAGCCATGGTGATCAACAATGGACAACGGGTACTCATGCAAAGATAATCATGGAATAAAGAGCTTTTCTAGCTACATCTTGATCAAACACATAGCTTTCTCAGCTCATCGCCTTTTCAAAGGGTTCCAAACCTCAAATTAGTTTGAACTTTTGTTCCCGCCTTCTTGTTATTGTAGGGACAAGTTTTCAAATGAGTTTTCAAGTGAGTTGTACCATTTCTTGATGTGGTAATGGAAAGCTTCTTGTTGCAATGGTTGCACTTGGCCTTCCAAACTCCATCAACACGCACTTTTTCAAAGTCATTCCAGGACTACTAGAGGTGAGCTTTCTCTTTAAAGGCCGCCCACCATCATCTCGAGTCCTCCTCCTCCTCCGATACATTCACAACATCCACGGCTTTGTCCTCCTCGGTACCAACCGCAGCAGCTTGCATGGGAGGTTTGCACTTGGGAGCTACCAGGGTCGCCATTATAGCTGCACAACACAATATGTATTAAATTATCACTTGATTTGTTACTGCAAATGGTTATTTAAATAACAGTCTATACAGCTAAAACATGTTGAACTTGAACGACACAACCTCCAACAATGAACGCACAACCTCCAACAATGAACAAATAACAGTCTATACAATTTGAATATAGAGATGGCAAGGCCACTCTTCATGGAAGAGATTGGTACTTTATACGAAGATCTTTTGGATCTCTCTAAAGATAATGAAATCACAATAAGGTGGGTCACGCCAACTTAACTTGTCAAACAGCTATGAGAAGAAATGCTACATACGCATGTCTAAGCATGCATAGCAATTGCTTGCATGTCTACCGAGGGAACACACCCTTGGATATCGATGCAAGTGTAACAAGGGATTTCAAGGCAATCCATACATCAAAGATGGGTGCACAGGTTAGAATTCCCTCAAATCCAAATCTCATTCTAGCATTGAAATTGTGAGGTGTATATCCATCATGCTCACCATATAATGTAAAACAAGAGATGGCTGTACAGAGTTGAAAGAACTAAATTTTGCTAGTTGGGTCTAGGTCTAGTCGGAGGTTCTTGTGTTGCAGCTATAAATTAAAGGATGAGTGGTTGATGTTTAAAGACCGAAAATTGGACCATAAAAGAACCAGGAAGCAAAACAAAACATAGTTTGTAACCTCTTGCGGTCTTGCTATTCCTGACTGGCATGCATACATATTCAACTAAACGCATATGCTACTTGAATATAAGTCCTGATGAAGTTATTAGGAGCTTGTTTTACAACAAGAACAACGAGTCGCTTATCACCGTTTCAGTTCATTGAAGTGCAGATAGCAGATCTGCAATATGAAGACAAGCACCAAAAAGCACAAGATCTGCTGGGAGGCATCAAGAACAAGTGAACTTGCCTTTGAAGTTGCTCATCGGGGAAGACGGCGGCGGCCTACGGGACGGAGACGGCAGCCTGCGCGGCGGGGATGGTGGCCTGGGTCGGAGCCTCTGAGCAGGGAGGATGGCGGCCGGCGTCGGAGCCTCGGAGTGGGGAGGACGGCGGCCGGCGAAGGAGCCTCGGTGCGGGGAGGCCGGTGTCCCGCGACCGGCGTCGGAGGGGGGAGGCCAGCCGCCGTGGGGAACTGGGGGAGCCCGAGTGGGGAACTGGGAGCTGGGGGGCTGACCGTCTGAGGGAGGCCAGACCGCCGGAGTGGAGGAGGAGGAGCGACGGCGCTGGGGACTGGGGAGGCCGGGATCGCCGGTCGTGTGTGTGAGCCCGTGAGGGACTGAGGGTGAGGGTGGCTGCGGGAGTGGGATGGGTGGGATTGGGAACGGATGAGTGAACTGAAAGTCTGAAACCCTAGAATCTGAACATTATATAGCTCTTACGCAGTGGCCCCACATGTCAGTGCGGGTTTCGCGGGTTTGCGGATGCGGGCATGCTCTCTTTTTACCTGTTTACTTTTGCCCGTTGGGCACAACTCTATGCCCGCGTCCGTGCCCGCGAGCACAGATTCACGCCCGTATCCGCACCCACCGGGTCGGGTGCCCACGGGTATACGGATTTTTTTTTGCCCGTTGCCATCTTTACACTCGATTAAGCAAGCATCTACCAACCATCGACACCTAACGCTGGCACGTACTACCAGTACTAGTCAGCTCTCACCGCCACGAGAAGGCTCTCAGACTGCAATGGCGATGGTGACGGCGAGGCAAAGGCACCGGAACTGGAACTGGCAGGCTGCTGCCGCCTGCCGCTGTCTTGTCCCAGGTTTCTGCCTTGTGCTTGTCCAGTTGTCCTGACTCCGAAGCAAGTCGGTTCCGTTTCTTTTGTGAAGAGTTAACAGCTAGACCAGTATCGAAATTCGAAATCAACAGCAGCCGTCCCACGAAGAATGTCACTATGGGTTGGGTGGTGATATTTATATTTATGGCCCTAAATTAATTTATTATAAAAATACATTTTGTAACTAATATAATGGTATTTATTTGATATTATAAATATTGATATTTTTTATTAATAATTGACCAAACTTAAAGTATTAAAACGTGACACTATGTAAGAATTGCTTTTTTTTTATAGAGGGAGTAGTCGATTTCAATCTGGCAGCTAAAGTCAACACTAATAAATCTAAATGTCTCAATTAATAGTCTAACTAACATTAGTTCAAAAAGAATTACCCAACTGATAAAAAAATATTAACTACTTTACCCAGACTAAGTACTACTCGCTATTAGCCAGAAGAGACGATCTAAACTTGGCTCGACTAAAATGTCATCTAATTGTCCCACTAGTAAAAATCTATAGTATTTATCTAACTTCCATATGCTAGCAGTCTGATCTAAACATCTGTTTAAACCCATTACTGGATCATTGTGAGATACTACTACGACAAATCTCCAGAACTCAAAGTAAGTTGGGAAATATTTCCTTGGCACGCTTGCAAAGAGAGGAGAAGGTGCTGCCCATGGATCATGTCCTTGTTTGCATGCAGTAAGGTGGAAGGCGGTGGAAACAGAGGGGTGGGCCCATGGTCACCAGACCTCCTGGGGAGGGTTGGCTGACCCGTAACCATAACTAAACATTCAAAAGTTACTTTTGCTTCTCTCGGGTTTTTTCTCTCCTATTTTTTTTCTGTCATATATTTTCTCCTATTTTCTATTTTTATTTTCAAAATACGAAGTCCTACCCCCTGCAGGTGGGGTGCTTCCTTCTTCTTGAGTGGATATGAAGTGGTGGGGTCACTAGATATTTCGAATTCTTGACATGTGGTCATGTGGGCCATTCAATCCTTGAGCTTTGATCTTGAGCCATATAGAATATAGAGAAAACACACTTTTTCATCCAACGATGAAGAATGCTTGGAAGTGTGCTTCTTAGCTTTACAAGTGGGGAAGCGGACCCAAACCCCCCTATGTGGATCTACAACCACTAATTTCTTCTGTTGTTGCCTCTTCATTAAAATAATGACATAACAGGGCATGTTCGTTTGAACTTATCAGCTGACTTATCAGCTAGAATCTACGGTATTTTTCTCTCACAACAAAACAGATTCAGCCGACTTTAATACCAGCCGAACAGGCCTGTACAAAATTCCTTACTACTTTTCTTATTTTCTTCCAAAGGTAACACTTTGTTGATGGTTTTGACAATGCAAAACTATAAAATGAAATTACCGTCAACACACAGTAGCTCAGTTTTCATTTTGTGGCCTCTGACTTATGATGTCCTTAGGCTGTTGCTATGCTTATTACATAGTTCAATTGATACATAACCTATTAGGACTTCATACATGATTAAGTAGTACTCTAATTTTACTTGGAGTAGAATACTATTTCTAAATCTATTCTATCTCTGGGACTTTATCTCTTTTTCTAATCCGTATATATCTTTATTTCTAACAGTTGTCATGTCGTTTTCACCGTGAGAGTGTTCATTTTGTTTGGTGTGCATTGTTGCACATTACTATTTCTCTAGCATTTTTCATGCTCGCGGCTTCAAGGTTGGGCGAATGGATGGAGCATGGAGGTGCACTTATGACAAAATCTCTCCAAGCGCATGGTTTGTGGGCCTCGTATATATTTTAGACTGGTTCGATCTCATATACATACCCACAAAATGACACAACACAGTCTACAAATACCTAAAAAAATAAAGGAAAAAATCTCTTATATCTCCCTAAACTATTATCCTAGTCTGATTTTCTCCTTAACTTCAAAACCAGATATCTTACTTCTCAACTGTTGAAACCGTTCAAATTACCATGTCCCGGTTTGAAGTGGTTTTTTTCCTTTTTAGTCTAAAAATAGGTAAATACATGATAATGTTTTTAAATGACAAGGAATGTCTCTCTGCTTTGAGAAATTCTAGAAAAAGATTTTGAAGATAGATTAGGATATGCCAAATCCAAATAAATATTTAGAGCTCATGAAAATATATCTAGATGCTTCCAAAAAAGATTTAGCTCTAGAAAATTGAGGGAAAATATCCAACAAAATATAGAAAACTCTCAAAACATTCTAATCGGCATATAAACATGTTTTAAAAAATTGCATGACAAAAATATGAGATGCAACTTGCATTAATGCAACATACATACTAAATGCATTCATACTATGCGTTTGTGCTAGTTGTGTATTATGTTTTTTATTGTGATAGGTTTTTAAAAGATATTTATACATTGATCAGAATGTTTTGAGAATTTTCTAGATTTTTCAGATAACTTTTCATTTTTCTAGAGCTAAATATATTTTTATGAAGCATCAAAAAGTAAAAACAGGCTATGATGATAACAGTAGAATAGATATTTTTTCCAAGCATAAACATTTAAGGGGCTATTGCGTTCTTGCCCCTATTTTGAACCCTAATTGTGATTTTACCCCTATTTTCTTTCACTTTGTATTTTTACCCCTGCTTTTCCAAAACGAAGGTTTAGTTTACCCCTACTCTGTGAATAGCAGGTAACGGTGTTAAAAAAGTTGACAGATGACAAGTTTGCCCTTTCGAATATTGTGTTTTTGCCCCTATTTCAAACCCTAATTATGATTTTACCCCACTTTCTTCCACTTTGTGTTTTTACCCCTACTTTTCCAAAACGAAGGCTCCGTTTACCTTAATTCTTAACTCAGTTATCTACATCCGGATCAAAGTAATTAAAAATTAACAAAAGCCCTGTGAAAAGACAAACTTACCCATTATCTCTCTCTATTGCCTCTCTCTGGTCGTTCCTCTCAACGCTTGAGCAGTGCGCTGGTGGTGAAAAGCAGCAACGGTGGCGGCGGAAGGACAACGTCGGCCAGGCGTGGTGGCGCGGCGCGCGCGGCAGGGCGAGAAAGCGCGCAGCGCTGCGGCTCTACTCTACTGGCTTAAGCGCGCGCGCAGCCTGCAGCGCGCGCTGACGCTGCGCTGGCTTGGCAGGCGCGGCGCGCGCCACGCGCCTCGTGAAAGCAACCGACCATGGAGCGGAAGACCCGCCTCTCTCTCACAACTCTAGCGGATGGCTGGGTGCGGTGGCGGCGAAAGGCCAACAATGGGTCTGGTCAGCCGGCGGTGTCGGCGCGAGTGGGTGTCTTTGTTGGCCTTCTACTGCATTGCCGCACTCAACCACCCGCCGCCACGCCCGCCTGACGGCCCGACGCAGTCCTTCCGCCACATCACTGCCAAGACTCAAATTACCACGTATGCGCTCAGCGTTGAGAGGGACGACCCTGAGAGAGACGACCGAGAGATAAGGGGTAAGTTTGTCTTTTCATATAGCTTTTGTTAATTTTTAATTGCTTTGATCCGGAGGTAGATAACTGAGTTAAGAATTGGGGTAAACGGAGCCTTCGTTTTGGAAAAGTAGGGGTAAAAACATAAAGTGGAAGAAAGTGGGGGTAAAATCACAATTGGGATTTGAAATAGGGGCAAAACGCAATATTCGGAAGGGCAAACTTGTCACATATCAACTTTTTTAACACCGTTACCTTCTGTTCACGGAGTAGGGGTAAACTGAACATTCATTTTGAAAAAGCAAGGTAAAAATATAAAGTGAAAGAAAATGGGGATAAAATCATAATTGAGTTTAAAATAGGTGCAAGAACACAATAACCCCAACATCTAAGGCCCAACAACATAGTAATGACTTTGCGTGGGCACAGTTGGACAGTTCACAGCGTTGTGAGTTTCTGACACCACGCTGGTTGCATCTTGCAACGTGAGTGAGGCTAATAATACAGCCGGTCTGTTGGCTGGCTGTAAGGTTGTTTACCGCCTTATCTCAGCCTAGCTTTTCACTCGGCCTATTCGTTTGATTGTTTATGTGGCTTATAAACCGGCTAATGCTAATTTATTGTGAGAGAAAAATACTATATCATGACTGATATGATCAAGCGAACAGGGTGACTATTAATACATGATCCACTTGTCTCTCTCACAAAATTTCTTGGTTTATAGCCCGTTTCTTCTCTCTCCTCCTCCGCATCACCATTTAGTTAGCTTACAGCTTGTTATTATACTTGCTCGACACTTCGGTAAAATTTGTTTGATTTCATGTAATAAAAAAGAAAAAAAAGTAAAAGCCTGCACAAAACTCTCGGCGTTGAAAAACCCGTGATTTAAACGGCCGCAGAAATGAGAAATCAACGTGCGCAAAGCAGCGGCAGCAACAAACTTGCAATGGCATCGGCAGGTTGGCATGCGCCGCACCAGCGGCCCAGCCTGTGCCTGCCTGGTGCCGTGGTGCGTGGTGCCTGCTATGCTTGCAGATTTGAGCAGGCGTCGATGCGTCCGTCCAGCTGGGCACCGTGCCCCGCGCAACTGGCTGCTGAATTCGGCTGGGCACGGTGGGCCCCTGCTTCTCGTGCTCTCGTCAAAACGGTCAGAGCATCAGGTGCCTCCTCTCCCAGAGACCCAGACTTCCCACCAATCACATCTCCTAACTGACCGGTGTAGTAGGACAAGCGGCGGCGGAGGCCCCAGTAGCCATCTCGCTCCATCCCTCTCCCCAGATCCTTGCAACATTACACTACTGCATTGCGACTCGCAGATCCAATCAACCCACATTGCATCGCTTGTTGCTGCGGATGCGCTAGCTGCTATTGATCATCCGATCTGGTCCGTCGTTATCCAGAGTCCAGACGGGATGGTGGCGGTGAAGGGCCCCGCGGCGATGGAGGACACCAAGAAGGCGTCTGAGAAGACGAAGCCGGACATGAGGCGCGTGACGTCGGCGGAGATGGCGCGGCACTGCGTCGAGGGCGACGTGTGGGTGGCCGTGCAAGGGAAGGTCTACGACGTTACGGCCTGGCTGCCGCACCACCCGGGCGGGGACCTCCCGCTGCTGAGCCTGGCCGGGCAGGACGTGACCGACGCGTTCGTCGCCTACCACCCGGCCTCCGCGTGGCGGGTGCTCGACCGCTACCGCGTCGCCACGCTCTCCGACTACGCCGTCTCCGAGGTCTCCCGCGACTACCGCCGCCTCGTCGCCGCGAGTTCGCCAAGGCGGGCCTCTTCGACCGCAAGGGCCACGGCTGCGCCGCCTCGCTCTGCACCATGGCCTTCGTGCTGCTGAGCTTCGCCGTCACGGGGATCCAGCACGTGCAGTTCTGCCTCAACCACTTCCCGGCGGGGACGTACGTGGGGCGGCCCCGCGGCGACGACTGGTTCCAGAAGCAGACGCGGGGCACGCTGGACGTGGCGTGCCCGCCATTTTTTAGGATGGATGGAGTATGCCGGTGCAATTAGTCCATTGGATTGGATGTAAACATGAAAGAAGAAACGCATCAAGCATTTTGTGGTGGGCAGTGATGTACTACTAAACGCCATTGTTGAGTTAGATCGGGCATGATTTGATTTGGTGCAGGTACAAGGGTTGGCATTTCTTGAGTGGTAGTACAGTAAGTAGTAGTATAGCTTTCCGCCTTTCTCTGTGCAACAGCTTGTACGTTTGTTTGCTTCAAGGAGAGAAAGTTATAAACATTGCCTCCTCTCCTCTGGTTGAAGCATCGGAGATGATTAAGGCCCTGTTTGGTTTGGAGAAGTTTTAATCCGGCTGCCCTTGAGATTTCGGCAAGCAGGAGATTCATTCCATCGCGGGGATTCCGGCAAGCAGGTTTTAATCCAGCTGTCGTGAGGATCCAGCGCAGGGATTCATTCCATAACTCTAGAGGAGTAGCTAGATTCCAGGTTGGGGTGAGGGGGTTTCGCCGAAAATTGACTAGAGAAAGATCGTCACATGGGCTAACTGAACAGGCGTTTCACTGAGGACCTAGATTTTATCCAGGCCAGGGTGGCCCACGGAGGTTGCCCACAATCCCAGCCAACCAAACATGGCCTAAGGGCTCGTTCGGTGTAGCTGGAACGAGCTGGCAAGGGTGAGAGAGAGTGCTTGCGGTAGTCACCCCTTAGGATAGAACTATGGAGCAAAGTGCGGCGAGGAGAGGAGGCTGGTCTAAAGGGTGAAACAATCCATGATGGTTGGAGATGCGCATACAAACATCTCCGGATCCTGACACCACAACCTTCACTGCTTCCACAAAAGTGCCCCTCTGATCATACCGCTCTCCCAGTGCCACCAACACCGCCGCCACACATGATTCGAGGGCATCATCCAATCCAATGTGCTTGGTATCTAAAATTTTCTTTGTGAGTTGCTAGATTAATTTGGCGAAACACAATACAGACATATGCTCGCATACGGAATACATGCGCACAAGTACTCACCTTTATAATACCATCCATCCACACGATACTTTTGTGAGACCATGATTAACAAAGTCGCCATTTGTACCTCACTGTCACTTACCAGTTTACCACTGAAATAATAACTCACTAGTGCAAGCTCCCATGCTTGAAAGATACTCAAATTTAGATGGGCAGGTTTCGCTATAAAGAGCCTAACCATTGGTCATCCATATATTGTCTTCTTTTTTATATAAAAAGAATAGCAAATATACATGTGCATTACAATGGAACGTACAACTAACTCGTTGCACAGTCTTCTGGACGACATGCAGTTTAGATATAGATTATGTCTTTTTCTTGACTATTCTTGTTATACTTATTTCCATCCAGTATCGAGGATCAGGGAAAGCTACGTCAAGAAGTTCCTTATATACGTTCAAAAGAAAAACATCGTTCGCTTGAAGAGCATTCTTAGCACGACTATGTCGGGTGACGTTTTCCGATCCCGATATTTGCAAACAGACCAAAAATGAGTGAGTACCGAGGACTTGGATCTTGAACCCAGCACTTGAATTGCCCCGGCCCATGGCCCATATATAATACTCCTTTTCCAGTTTCTTCCCTCCACCTGTTCTGTTCCCATTTCAGAATTTTCACCATGTGGGCGGCCGGCGTTGAAACAAAAAGAATTTTCACCATGTGTGCAGTTAGCCAGTTATATGAAACAAAAAGAATTCTTCACCATGTTGCATTGTGCTTTACTAAGCCTAAGGAGTAATAAAGAGAAAGAAAGTATGAGCCTATGAGGAAGTAACCTATTGGATGGATGCTCACACACATGAGACCCATTGTCAAGCGACGCCGCACGCCATGGCTTCCTGAAATGGAAAAGCTGGTGAGGGTATGGCGCCTACCATTTAATTTGCCCAACCCTAACCCACGCGCGCCGACGCAAAGCAAATGCTCCTTCAGCTTTTCGATCTTCATCGGCCATGCATGCATGCTCCGCTCGATCCGGCTGGCTGATTACAGTATATGTATATGTGCCATACGCTGGCGGCTGGCTCGCGACTTAATTTGCTCCAAGCAGCTAGCTAGCAGGCTCAGTCGATCAGTGTACGTGCGGAGATGCGGAGCTCCATCGCCTCCTCGGCTGCGCTGTTGGCCGGCGCGCTCCTGTGCCTGCTGGCGTCGCCGGCGCTGGCGGCGGCGGCGGCGAGGTCGACGGGGAGGACAACGCTCAGCGTCCTGTCGTTCGGAGCCGCGGCGGACGGCGTCACCGATGACGCGGAGGTACTACCTAGAATTATATTCAGATGAGGAGGAGGTTTCCATGGACCATGCAGTTAGTGACTCATATTCGTAAAACTGAACTGCCTTCTTCAGGCACTTGTAGCAGCATGGCAAGTGGCATGCCGAGTCCCACGCGCCACAGTGCTACTCCCGTCAGGGCACCGGTTCCTCCTCTCGCCGGTCACGCTCCAAGGCCCCTGCAGCACAAAACTCACCCTTCAGGTCCTTCTTCTCTTCCTTAAGCTCCTTTTTTTTCCCCTTCCTTCCATTTCTGTGCAGCAGAAGCAGCTAATAGAGGAAGGTTTTTCAGATCGATGGCACCGTGTTAGCGCCACCAGAAATGGGCTCCTGGCCGAAGCCCAGGAGGCCTCTCCAGTGGCTCAACTTCAAGTGGCTGCAAGACTTCAGCATCCTGGGAGCCGGCACGGTCGATGGCCAGAGCGTCACCTCGCTGCAGAGTGCCTCATCACCAGCGAATAATACTTCTCAGGTTCCGTCCACAACTCCACATGACATGCAATTATTTCTCTATTTTTGGTTGTAGATGCAGACTTTGATAACTAACCATCAACAAGGTCGATGATGACTAATCCTGTCGTGTGTGTTCTCTCCATTTCTTGTATCTGCAGACATCTACCGAGCACTGGCATTCACCAGGAATCAAGCCTACGGTATGTACCGCATTCACCTGCAGACATCATTTATATAAGAATTTTACCTAGATCATGATCTGGATCATAGGATTGTCAAACTAAAGCTATATATCTTTTCTCCCCCAGCTAATAAGGTTTTACAACAGTTTCAATGTCACCGTGCGCAACATCCGGATCACCAACAGCCCACAGTGCCACCTTAAGTTCGACAGCTCCGGAGGCATCAAGGCCAAGAACATCACCATCTCTTCTCCCGGAGACAGCTCCAACACCGACGGCATCCATCTTCAGAACACCAGGGACGTCGAGATCAAGAGCTCAAGCATCGGCTGCGGTAACTGAACTGCCCCTGATCTTGCAGATTAGTACAATTAGCCCAATAATATTTATGGCTCAAATATTGAAGCCTGATCTGCATGGCATTTTAATCAATCTTTCATTCAGGCGATGACTGCGTGTCAATACAAACCGGGTGCTCAAATGTTCACATGAAGAACGTAGTCTGCAATCCCGGCCACGGAATCAGGTGTGTGTGCGATTGTGACGAGGCAAGAGTTCAGTTTGCTGTGTTCTTTTTTTTTTCTTGAACGTAAAGATTGCTGTGTTCTGAACATGGCCTAGTAACGTTTGTTTCGAATGTCGTTCAATTCCTGCAGTCTAGGAGGACTTGGGAAGGACTACAGCCTGGCCTGTGTCTCTGATGTTGTTGCAGAGAACATCATTGTCCAGAACGCCTTGTACGGGGTCAGGATCAAGACGTGGCAGGTAAGGATAACCACGTACAGAACGTCCTGTACAGGGTCACCAGCATGAGCAATGTGCAATGACATGGCATATGATCTCATCTATCGTCGTCCTCTACATTACGTTGTCCTCACTCAGGGTGGCGTGGGCTCGGTGCGGAACATCACCTTCTCCAACGTCAGGGTGGCGAACGTGGCCACGCCCATCGCCATCGACCAGTTCTACTGCGACAGGGGCGGCGCGCGGTGCGCCAACCGCACCGGCGCGGTGGCCATCACCGGCGTGGCGTACCGGCGCGTGGTCGGCACCTACTCGTTCCAGCCGGTGCGCCTGGCGTGCAGCGACGCCCGGCCCTGCACCGGCGTCAGCATGGTGGATGTGCGCCTGTCTCCTACGGCGACCGCGCCCGGGGCCGGGGGCACCGTAGCGCCGCTGTGCTGGAACTCCTACGGCGAGGCGCGGGGGACGATCCAGCCGCTCAGCGTCGGGTGCCTGCAGAGGAGCAACGGATACGCGATGCCTCTCACCCAGCCTTTTAACTACACATGCTGAGTCCTGTAATTTGGATGGTTTTTCAATTTCGATGATAAAAAAAGGTCACATTCTTTTTTTTACAAAGAAAAAGGTCACATTCTACTGTACTCTTTATCAAATGTAGTAATTGATATTCCTTGCGTTCAAAATCAAAATAAGGCGCGGCTTAACCCTGCATGGTTTTAACCGTTTGCATCTCTTATACAACATATCCTATATGTAAAATACGCTGATACCAACTTTATATCCCACAATCTACAAATATGAATACGCTGGTACGATTATACGAACTTTGTATCCCAGTCCGCATACTCCACTCCAAATTGTTCAAACTTATCTAGTTTTGATCACTTTCTTTAAGAGAGAGAGAGAGAGAGAGAGAGAGAGTTTCTCTGCTTTTGAGGAAGTCCATAGGAGCTTAAGTCAATCTGCCCTATCACAGTTCCAAAATCTTCAAATCACAGTCGATAGGCTTGAAAGTCGATAAAGGGCCTTATCGTTTCGTTTTGATCAAATTTATTGACAAAAACATATTAACACCTACAATATTAAATAAATGCACCATCAAAATATATTTTATTATGTATCTAATAAATTATGATTGATGTTATACATGTTTACATATTTCTCTAAACTTGGTCAAAATTAGACAAGATAGAGTTATGACAAAACTAAAACGACTTAGGAGGTGTTTAGATGGTTTTGGAATGGCAAAACTTTTGGCCCTAATCTTTTGCTGCAAATTTTTTAGCATTCAAACTTTACATCTTGGTGTTTAGATGCATGACAAAATTTTAGCACTGTACTAAACAAAGACTGATTTGCCCTCATTTAATGCATGATTTGGTTCATTAATTGTCACTCATGCAAAGCCATGCATGCTGCATGCTGGGCTGCTGCTGCTGCTGCTGCTGCTCCCAACCGCTTGCTGCTAGCACTTGCTGCTACTCGCCATTGCTACTGGTAGCATTTACTGCATGCCCGGCAGTGTTTTCAAACAATCAAATATTATACTTTATTGCATAATTATTGAATAGTTCAACAACTCAATTGTCCTCAACTATATAAATCACTCATACACATTACATTTGAAGTACACCATTCCAATTGTCATGATCGGTTTAACAAACCAAGGGCAATCGAGTCATGGAAAACATTCATCATTGCAGTTTCATCCCTTGTCGGCGTTTGACGAGTACATGGCTGAGAGACCGATGCTTCAGGTGGAACATAGTTCTCATCACGATCACAACGATCAAAGTCCCTATCCACTATTCCACTCGTTCTAATGAAGTTATGGAGTGCCATGCATGCAATGATAATTTGGCTTTACTTATGAGGTGGATAACTTGGCATTTGCAACAACATCCTTCACTTCATCTTTAAAACTCCAAACGACCTCTCGATAACATTTCTAAGAGATGAATGTGTGTAGTTCAAGATCTCTTTTTTACCTTGTGGCTCCGGGCCGTCTCGATACTCCGAAAGATGGTACTTGGTTCCCTTGTAGGGCACAAGGTAACCTAGACGGTTTGGGTAGCTAGAGTCCACCAGATAAAATTTTCCTACACAATGAAACAGTTTTGTAAGTTTCACCTAGTTCAAGTAGAAGCTACAAATGGAACAGCATGAAGGTGTTTACCTGTAGGTGGATGTGGAAAGACGTGCTTGTACTTTGTCATAGCATCAGTGAACACTCTCATGTCATGTATAGAACCAGGCCATCCAGCAAGAATAAATGTGAACCTCATGTCAAAGTCACAAACAACCAGCACATTTTGTGTTGTCATGCCCTTACGGCACATGTGTTGAACCAACTTATTACTTGGCACCACACATGGTATGTGAGTGCCATCTATTGCTCCTATACAATTGTTGAAGAAGGGATGGAACCTAGGGTTTTTCAATCTAGGGTGAATTGTTTTGAATTCTAGGTCCACTGGCTTAATGATGTCTGCAGCTAGCTTAACCACACATTGCAAAACTTTCTCAAAATTGTTGTGAACTATGCATAGTGATCTCTCAAATCTATCCTCAGCTTGCCTAACTGACTGTGGTGCTCCAAGCATCCAAAGGAACATTCTTAAAGCCTCAACAGAGGTACTCTTGGTACTAGATTTCAGGCCATATGACTCAACCAGGAGATCATGAAGTCGATGGAATACAGTTGGGCTCATTCTAAACATGTTGTAGTAGCTGTTTCTATCTCCTAGCTTTCTCTCTACCCATTCTAGTCCAGTTAGCAATGGTTGCCTCCTCTCAGCCCTACTATAGTATTTGTCATGGTGAATAGCAAACAGGTACATACCGTTCATAAAATCGTCGTCATCATCCTCAAGAAGCATTCTGTAGATATCCTCATCACTTGATTCATCAGAATTGTCCCCATCCCTCGCTGCATGAGCATCCTAACACATAAATGCATGACAATCTCAGTTATATATGCCAGTAAAAAATTGATCATGCATCATAATCTCACATCACAATCACAAATGAAATTCATCACACAGTTCAACAGACATAGTGCAAACTCTCATGACATAGTGCAAATGACAAACAGAGTTCAAATGACATAGTGCAAATACAACAGACTTAGTTCAAATGACACCCTTACTATAATGACAGACATAGTTCACATGACATGAATTGTTCAAATGACAGACATAGTTAAGATAAGAGGATCTAGTTGTTGACCCCGACAAAGTACTCAATGAAGCCCAGCCTTCTTGTTGGTGTAGATGTTCCAATGAAGAACTCCATGCTGTCATCATCTTTGGTGATCTTGTGCACAGCATACCACAACTGCTTGTTTCCTTCATCTACACCACACTCTCGAGCCAAGTGTTGCACATACCTAATCTTTTCTTCTCTGGCAACCTCCTTCTGCTGGGCAAGCTGATGGGTAATCTGCTGCTTGTTTTCCAAATGTTTCTTGAACATCAGATTCCTCTCAGCTTGAATCTTGGCATTCTCGCTCATGAACTTGTCCATGCTCCTAACTGTTGGGCTCGTGGACTTCTTGCTAGGACTAGAGCCAGTGGTGCTTGTGCTGCTTGCTCTCTTGTGGCTACTGATGCTAACTGGGGTCTAAACATCAAGGTCCTCAGGTGGCTCCTCCTCTTCCTCGTCCACAGTGACACTTTCTCCAGGAACAAATGAGGTGGAGCCATCAACAGCTACACCATGGAACATTTGGTCCAATTCATTGATGTAACCTGGCCACCCACACTTGCATTTCTTCCAGTCTAGGTGGCCCTGTAGAACTTATCTTTGTGAGCAAGGGTAGATCTTACTAGACATAAACAACAAACAAGCAGTTTGGCAATTACCTTAGTGTTGTTTTCCCACCATTGATCACTGGCATCAAAAGTTCCATCAGATCTACGGCCTAAGCCAATGTCATTGCGCAGTCTTTGTATGAATTGCCAATATCCCTTCAATTGCATAATCGTATTACCGATCTGGATTCTATCATGAACCAAATTGGTTGCAAAATAGTACCTTCCTATGACCTCCCTCATCCCTGTCTTGTTCATGACACCATTCACGAAGTTACCTTTAGTAATTTGGTCAACCCAAATCTCACATGGTTTCCCAGTATTTGGTTATGACCAATTCCCCTTGTCGACTCTATCATAAACGATGCATAACAAGAATACGTACATATATTACAAAGACAGCAAAAATCAAACAAATAGCATATTTTTCTGGGTTCTGAAAAAATACCAGGATTTGAGTGTTCAGAAAGATCTGTTGGATCTCGTCATCATCAGCTTCATTTGGGTTGTTGACATCGAAGTTGTCTTCCGCAACAGCTGACGTCGTGGGTCGTCGACGTCCACCGCGGTTCCTAGATCTGGTAGGTGCGTCGAATGCAGATCCAGGCGAGGCGCGCACGCCGACAGTCACAGGAGGCAACGGAGGTCCACGTCCACCACCGGAGGATGACAACATGGCGTGAGCGGTCGTGGCGCCTCCTCCACCGCCACTGCGAGCCACGTGTAAGTTGAGGGTACGACTGTCGCTATGGACACGAACATGAGGGGGACCCATGCTAGCCGCCGGTGCCTCCACCTTGCGGGCCAGAGCAAAGGAGGCCCTCATAGCCCGCCATTCCAGCCACTCTTGGCCATGGGAGTTGAGGTCGAGCACCGCCATGCCCGCCCAAGGACCATTGAGGTTGCTCGAGCCCGGAAAGGGATATGCCGTGTCGTTGAAGTTCTCGTAGCCGCCGATGGGGGAAAACGGATTAGGTTGCGAGAAGAAATACCTAGTGCGGTCGCCGTCGCCGTAGCCATCGTCGTTCCCGTTGACATCTTCATAGCCGTCAACATTGTAGCCCTCCATCAGCGATGTCACACCCGATTTTAAGGATAAAATTGGATGCATAATCTTATGTGCGCCCAGAGATCAGTCACACACATAAGCCGACAAATTATAAATAGTATCATCACAACTGTTTATTACATCATGAATAACAAGACAGAGTCTTCACATAAATGTAGCGGAAGTATAAAGAAAAGATATCTCATGGAAGCTCCATATCACAGGGACGTCAACCGATTGACCACAAGTCTAGTAATCCTCAGAAAAGCCATCATTACCATAGCCATCTGTTACCCATCCGGGATTTTTATCCAAATAATGAAAATAAACAAGCATAAGTACATGTCGTACTTAACAAGTGTAACATGGGGTTCATGAGGCTCAAAAGGCTTGACACAGGTTTAACAACATTCCGCTTTTAGTTGTCACAATTTTAGCATAAGAGTAGCAACAAATTGTTTCAATCCCAAGGTAAAACACATGATCAATGTAAAACATGAATAATGAATATCATAAATAGATAATTCTTAGTGATCATCTATTCCATAAATATTCCAAGGCCGCTCATGACCGTGACCACGGCTGATATACCAGTTTTACACTCTGTAGAGGTTGTACACTTTCACTGTGAGTCATGATTTACCCTTTCGCTCGAGGTTGTGAGCCTCTTAACCCACTACCAAGGAAGGTCG